TGGGCCAATCGAGGATGATGCGCGGCGTTTAACAGCAAACATTGATCTCAGACTGCGGCAAAAACATGCTCCTATCTTCACACGCACCGCAAAGTTAAAAGGTTTGGTGAAAATAAATTCGCACTTGCGACATAATGCAGATACCTTACGCCGAAGCTATCCGTACTGCACATATGCGCAAGAAACTTAAAATACCGTACTTGCGGTAGGAAACGGGCGTTCCCAACAGATATTAAACCAAACAACTCGGTAGAAAACATTTAAATTATTGGCAACAGAGAACGGGCGTTCTCAAACCAACTTGACTGAGTGACGGAACAACTGAGAGCACAGTTGACGTCACTTTAGAAGGTTGGGAGCGGGCGCACCCAACAGTCAGTGTGCACAGACAAAGAGAAAAGGCAAACCAAGCTTGCGGTGTTGACAAAGCTGAAATCAAAGCGGATTCTTCTTGCAAGCGTGCGCTTACAAGAACTGCGCAATGCTCAGAGTAGGGTTCCAAGCAAGGTCAAACCTTTAGCAACGGCCCACCCTTCCAACGGCTTCACTGGTGGCTTAACCACCTTAAGCCAAGGCTTGAGCCAAAAAGGCTACGGGATTCATTAAATTCAAGGACAGGTGCAGGAAACCCGCCACCCAATCACCGCACGCCAATGTCAGTATTATACTACCGGTCGTCTCCGAAAGGGTGAAGGACGCGGTGTCGGACTCGATATATGATCAATCATGGACATTCACACAATTTCGGACTCGCGGCATCGCGGCTTACCAGGGCGAACAGTGAGGCACAAGCTGTTGAACCTCCAGGACAGCAGACGCCAAAGCCTGGTTTTCCAAGTGCCCGGCCGTCTGATCCGTGGCGACTGCAACTGCTACTAGCACCAGATAGTCGGACAACTCCTGCTGCTGCTGCTGCCACTGAAACTGCTACTGCTACTTCTACTACAGAGGCAGGGAACCAGTTGATTTAATGCGTGCCGCGGGCACCGGTTGCTTGACTGGGCTTGGACTGGTCTTGCCGGACCGTGGCTGTGATTCTTTCCATACCTGGAAGACGATGCGGGCCGCCTCAAGAGCTGGGGCATTGCCATACGAATCAATGGTCGCTGACCGTCTCAGAAGCACTTCACGAATCCATAAAATCTTCTTTCTTTGAGCAAAACATGAGTTTTGGGCACCAAAAGCAAACATCAGGAAAATAAACTGGTACATGAATTTTGGTCATAAAACCCGCAGAGCCCTTAGAAGAAAACTTTCAGGAAGACAGGCATGAAAAAAGGTGCAATTTGAGGTCAGCAGCCTGCCAACGCTCTCCAGCTCCTCTTCTTTTCGAAGCACACAGGCTCCATTGCAGAAGGCTGTTTCCAGAATCAAGTGTTGGCAGCCGCGTGGAAGCTCTGCTCTGACTCGGCCAGTCAAAGCAACGAGAACCACAGGAAACGTGATCTCCGGATTGCCAACACATGGGACCTGAGCTTGGGACCTATGGACTAAGCCATGGGACCATGGGTAGAGCTCTGAAGCTTGCAGGCTGCAAGGTTTTGCTGCCCAATCGCTTTGGACACCACCTCTCCTAACCATTAGCTCCAACCCAATTTTTGGTACTCAGACGGTGCAAGAGCCCGCTCGCTCAGCGTTCAATACAAATGGTAGTTGCAGTAGAAGCCGTAGTAGTAGTAGTAGTAGTAGTAGTAGCAGTAGTAGTAGTAGTAGTAGTAGTAGTAGTAGTAGTAGTAGTAGTAGTAGTAGTAGTAGTAGTAGTAGTAGTAGTTGTTGTTGTTGTCGTAGTAGTAGTAGTAGTAGTAGTAGTAGCAGTAGTAGTAGTAGTAGTAGTAGTAGTAGCAGTAGTAGTAGTAGTAGTAGTAGTAGTAGTAGTAGTAATAGTAGTAGTAGTAGTAGGAGTAGTAGTAGCAGTAGTAGTAGTAGTAGTAGTAGTAGTAGTAGTAGTAGTAGCAGTAGTAGCAGTAGTAGCAGTAGTAGCAGTAGTAGCAGTAGTAGTAGTAGTAGTAGTAGTAGTAGTAGTAGTAGCAGTAGTAATAGTAGTAGTAGTAGTAGTAGTAGTAGTAGTAGTAGTAGTAGTAGTAGTAGTAGTAGTAGTAGTAGTAGTAGTCGTAGTCGTAGTCGTAGTCGTAGTCGTAGTCGTAGTCGTAGTCGTAGTCGTAGTCGTAGTCGTAGTCGTAGTCGTAGTCGTAGTCGTAGTCGTAGTCGTAGTCGTAGTAGTAGTAGTAGTAGTCGTCGTCGTCGTCGTCGTCGTCGTAGTAGTAGTAGGAGGAGGAGGAAGAGGAGGAGTAGAAGTAGTGGTAGGAGAAGTAGTAGCACCACGTGCGGTTGCTTCTGGTTCAAGCCACACACCATGCATCAACAAATCAGAAGCGTTGCTGTCTCGGGGTGAGGGTTTAGGGTTTAGGGTTTCGGGTTTAAGGTTAGGGTTTAGGTTTAGGGTTAAGAGTTTAGGTTTAGGGTTTCGGGTGTCAGATATATACACAGGCGTTGTCGTCGTTGACCATTGCGTGGAGAAGAGTGCTTCGCACCCCCTCGCCCCGGCTAGGGGCGCCTTCAAGTTGGTCTCAACTCTGTGCGCGTTCACACTCACTTGTCAACCTAACTGCAAGAAGGTGCACTGAGTGCTATGTTATTGCTACGGCCCAGGCGCTTGTGTGGGGACTGTCCCTACGGACGCGTTGGGCAGTTTAGGTGACTGAGGTCCTTGTCTTACGGCCTACCCGTACTTTCGCTTGATGTCTGTGCCAGACGTGGCGCAGCATTGCTATGGGTGACGGGCAGCTGAGTGATTGGTGCCGGTAGGTTCTTGTTTGCCTTGGTCTCACCTCGCTGGCCTTGCGTTAAGTTGCCTTGCACTGCGCTAGCGGTTGCTTCTTTGTAGTCACGACTTCTTTTACGCTCGCTGGCTTGTGCAATTTGACACTCAAAGTGGTTGTTTCGGTCGCAATAGACTGGCTCACTGTGCTGCTGATGTGGTAAAGGGGCGTCCGCTTCAAAAAAAAAGATGCGGGAGTGGGCACGCGCTCGAGGGATCCACAAGACCAACACGGGGGGGGACCGTTTTCGGGATTTGCTAAGAACCTCATTGGGATCTTGAAAGGCCAGGCGGACGCTGATGCACCACTTGCTTAGGCAAGCGTGCTGAGCGGTTTCGCGTTGAGGCTTCTAAGCTTGGCTGGAATGTGCCAAGGCTCGCGCCGTTTGGTGCGAAGCTGCAGGTGTTGCAAAGAAGCTGGCACATCCATAAGCGAGGAGAGTGGGTGTCACGGGTCGTTGGGGCTCGGTTGTGTCCCTCTCTAGGGAGTTGTCAGCTGGCTATCTTGTCAGGACTGATGCGGGCGAGCTTTTAAACACTCCGTGTGTGTTTGCCGACCTTCAGACAGTAGTTCCAAACTCCTTCGAGATTCCCCCCGAAAAGGCCAAGGTAGGCGCGAGAGCAGTCCATCCTGACGTTCAGGTTCGTGGAAAAACCACTCTAGGAGAGGCCAGCAGCAGCTGAGGCCGACGCCAAGGGTTCTGAAGAGACTGCTCAGGATTCAAGATGTGTTGTCTGAAGATGAGCAAGCGTGGAGCTTGGCCTCCAGTGAACATTTTTGCTTAGATTGGGCCTCGCAGTTCTTGTTGGGCACCAGCTGGTTGCAGTCTCCGTCGGGTCGCTCGAGGGTTGGAGTTCTTGACCAGGGCGGCTTTGCAAGAGTTTTGGGGTTCTATCAGCGTGGGGGGGTGACCGGAGTGACTCGGGAATGGGCGCGATTTCCAGGCTTTGCCAAGCTGCTAGCTCGTATGGTTACTGCTGTCGATCCCAAGCATGAGTTCACTACTCTCACAATCTTGAGGCAAAACTGCGCCAAACCGCACATGGATAAATACAATCTGCCGGTGTCGAACTTGATTTTACCCCTTCGGGTTCCGCCGTCCGGGGGAGGAGGGCGCTGGGGGACGATGCTCGATGGGTTACTCCCAAGATGCGGGTGGCAGGGAAGGTGCAATCTCTTACCGTTTCAACCATGCTACTTGGACCCCTGCAAGTGGCACGCAACAGAGGGTTGGGAAGAGGGTTCGCGTGTGCTGCTCGTGGCGTATAGCCTAAAAGGTATCAGCAGGGCGACAGCGGAGCAGCGTCGAAGCTTGCGATGTACTATTACTATCCGTCAGTCGTTGGACAACTCATGTAGTAGAAGGGCTGTGTGTGTTCGGGAAGTGGAGGAGCTTCGATGGTTGCGCATTGACCAGTCTATGCGGGATCATGTCTTGGCAGGTCACATCCCATATCGCCGGGACTGGTATGCATGTGTGGCAGGTAGAATACACCGACCATCACATTTTAGAAGCCAAGTGTCGGAGAGCTTTACGCTGTCCCTTGATCTGGCCTGTCCGTTCAAGGAGGGGGATGAGTGAGGGGTGTAGGGCCAGATATTTCTTGGCGGGGTTTCGGCTGCCCGGTTGTATGTGCTGCTGGTGATGACCAGCAGGGGGGAGACCTCCATATAGATCAAAAAGTTCAAAACCGACGCCTCAAGAGGCGGAGAAGTGTAACCAAGGCATTGGGCAGGCTGTCACGGATCCCCCTCTTGTGGTAGATGAGTACCGGTCGGGGTTAACACTTGTGCAGAGGCGCAAGTTGCTTCATGAGCTGAGGGCTGGGGCCGGGGGAGTCGTTGATCCTCCAGCGCGCGAGATTTGGGAAGGCCTCGTTCTCGCAAGAAGTCTTGGACGGTCGGGAGCCTGTGCCTTGGGTGTCGCATACTGGTCACGTCGTCGAGTTTTCGCCCGCGCATGCTCATGACTTGGCGCAGTGAGAGTCATAGAGATTCAGAGCGCAGTGAGGGTCGAGAGAGTGCCGGGGGTGTTGAGAGTCAAGGGCATTTCGTGTGTCATATGGGTCGTGGGGATCCGGGTGAGTGTGCTGGCCCTGAATGGAAAGGGGGCATGCTGAAGTGTGGGAAGGCTGGCGCCCGCCAGGCGTCAGAAAGTATGTCTCCCACCAGTTGTCCCAGTCACCACGCTGCCACCTGTGGTTGGAGTCCGTTGGAGTGGTACGGCTGGTAGCGCTCCCACTGCTCGTTCCTGCGAGTCTCGTCTCTCCTCCAGATGTCGCTGCCGGCCCTGGAGTTGTACCACGAGGACGATCCGGCCGAGGTTGCTGTTGCACGGCTTGTGTCCTTTGTCACCGAAAGGTGTCACTGAGGACTCAGGTTCCTCTTCCACCTGGACTTCAACCTCCTCGTCGGAGCTGTAGTACACGCTGGTGGCAGGGTGAGTTGGAGCAACTGACTCGAACTCTGTTGTTGGCGCGTGGGAAAGCGTCGGCGCTTCCTCCACACTTTGTCTCTCGGTGAGTTACCGCACTTGTGCTTGACGAGGAACTGAGGGTAGGTCCTGCTGCCGCGCGTCGAACAGCCTCGTCCCTCGCAAAGCTTGCCCTTGCCTGCTTTCCAGGTCTGTCCTCCAGAAAGCGTTGAGCAAAAGGGGTACCTTTGAAAACTGCGTCCCGTGCTTGCTGAGCACGGCGGTAGTTTACCGAAGCCTTGTTCCTAGGCTCAAGCCGCGTCCACAGTGACCTCTCGCCACCCACGAACTCCCTCGCCTCAGGGATCGCAGCCAGGTTTTGCTGGCTTCCACCCTGCAAGGCAAGTCCCTCCAGGTAGCTGAGGTTCAACGCGGGAGCAGCTCTGGTTTCACACGCCTGGGGCTGCTCCTGTCCTTGTTCCAAGGCTACCTCTTCGTAGTCCGCCTCCCTCTGCAGGCGTCTTGCTAGACCACGAGCTCAGGGGATCTCGTGCTCTCCCCTTTCTCCTTTCCACCACCTTTTCCCGTCTCTCCAGGATTGTCCGGGTCCTACACACGGACCTCGGGTACTGGAGCTGCAGCACCCCTAAAGAGGTTATGCGGTAGCTCCCGCCTTTCAGGGGTTGCACCCCTTAGAAAGTCTCGGAGCCCTGGCTGCCGACCAGGAGCTCCGCTACCATGCGCGGAGTGCAAAACTCACAAAAGCTAGGACTTTTAAGCCAACACAGGGCTGCAGTGTTAACACGTATTGGGCTCAAATACTACTCAAGGGAAAGGCTGCGCAAGGACTGTACTATCTGCGCAATAAGGGACAAGTTCGGAACGGCCATTCTTTTGGCCAACTATGGACCAAGTCTGGCCACCTGAAGGCCTTTACGGGCCTTTCCGAGACCTGTCGCCGCTTGCCTCCGGTCGCCATAGTTGTCACTGATCACTGTTCAGCGACAAAAGCTATAGCGATGAGTGGTATCAGACTGCAGTGCAAACTTTGACGAACTATGTGGCAGCAGTGCGCCCTTGATCGCTGACGCTGCGCCCGCTACTTCTGCCAGCAGCGACTTCTGTACCCCTGCGTGTGCGAAAGGCTCAAGTCAACAAAGGATCCAGATTGTCTATCCAGCCTTCTGGACACACAGTTTAGCTTAGAATTGGTGTGGTCTGAAAGTAAAGACTTTGCTGCAGTCATCTCGTTCGGTATCTGCTGCCCGTTCAAAGCATATCGCTTGCAAGCATGACCACACCGACGATTTGAATCATGCACAAAGCTTGACGAGTGAAACCCAGAGCCCGCCCAGTCGCACAGCCAACTGGGCAGAGCTAAATCGCGCCTGTTTGGCATTGATTGTCCGATTTCCTTCACGAGAATCACATCGCCCGGCCTTTCAAGTTGCCTTTCGCGGCAAACGGCCGTAGCAGGTGTGGGTGGCCCTCTTTGATGCCTGATTGCGTTGAAGTGTGGGAGAAAGGTAGGGGGGGGCGGGGGTGGGCCGGGCCCTCCACGGAAAAACTCGCAGTCATGCCGTCACGTAGAACTTAAATAGGGGAGCTGAGGGTTGGGCCTGGTGGCATCGATGTCCACCAGACCGACGCGGTTCCCGTTCTTGATGGCCTCGTGACTTGGGCAAATATAGGGACATGAGCAAAGGAAGCATGCCGAGGCCAGGTTTGTCTTCAAGTCGTCCACATATTAAGCTGCACATCGTGAGTCCAAGAGGCCAGCACTTCCACATGATCATGACACGGTAGTGGTGTGTCGACGACGGCCTGAAGGAACTGCACCTTCAACCAGCTGCGGCTGCTCGCCCTGAAAGTCCTGTTGGCATGACGTTATCTGAAACAGCGCTGCTCCAAAACCTACCGCAATCGGAATCCTCCTTGGGCTTCCGTTTGGCGGTGAAATTCCCATCTTGTGGGTTGACTGGGTCAAAACATGAACTGCCAGACATGAATTGACACCAAACTTGCAGAAACACTCCAAAAAAGGAACCCCGAACCGCCTCCCGAAGCCCCTCCTCTGCCCGCGAACGGCCATGTGCCCCCAACATAAGCGTCCACTGCAATCACCATCCCCTGCCGACGATGGTGCACCGGGACATCCCTAAGAATCCATGTGCCTGAACCTTTGGGCTCACATGTACATCGTGATGAGGTGCACACACCCCGAAGGAATCCCGTGGAGCCTTTACTTCATCCTGACACCTGCAGTTTGGGTCGGGCGCAATGTCAGCAGTCTGCCGTGCAGTGGCAGAGCTGGATCCCCTACGTGCGATGGTGACTTTGGCCTTGGCAATCGGATTGTGGTTTGGTTTGCATCGGTGGTGCAAGAATCACAGTGCAAAGACAAAGCTGGCCAGTGCAGTAGATGCTGGCAATCCTGACGAGATGCTCAAGGCATGTGATGAGGTGGAAGCCTCTGGTGCAGATGCAACTGGTGTGCCTGCAGTTCGTCACATGGCCAGTGTGCTGAGAAGGTGTGCCACCCTACGTGAGCCCGATGGAATAGAGAAAGCCTGTGGTGATGCTGAAGCTGCAGGTGTGGACGAACAGCATGTGCAGGCTTTTCGGCAAAAGGCTTGCATGATTCGCAGAGCTTTGCGAAGATTGGCCGCTGCCGTAGATGCTGGCAATCCTGACGAGATGCTCAAGGCATGTGATGAGGTGGAAGCTTCTGGTGCAGATGCAACTGGTGTGCCTGCAGTTCGTCACATGGCCAGTGTGCTGAGAAGGTGTGCCACTCTACGTGAGCCCGATAGAATAGAGAAAGCCTGTGGTGATGCTGAAGCTGCAGGTGTGGACGAACAGCATGTGCAGGCTTTTCGGCAAAAGGCTTGCATGATTCGCAGAGTTTTGCGAAGATTGGCCGCTGCCGTAGATGTTGGCAATCCTGACGAGATGCTCAAGGCATGTGATGAGGTGGAAGCTTCTGGTGCAGATGCAACTGGTGTGCCTGCAGTTCGTCTGAAGGCAAAAATAATTCTTGCTGAGGATGAAGTGAATGTTCAATTGTCGGCAGTGCGCTGCAGCCTGGAAGATTTACAAGCGAAATTCGCGGCTGAAGATAGTTTGCGTTTGCTAACTCTGCTTGCAGCTACGCTTACAGCGTTGCAGGGCAAGTTGACAGTTGCTTGCAAATGTGTGAGTTGCCACGAAGCTGTGCTTGCAGGCCAGGCGCCAGTATGCTCACAAGGCACACATTCCTTGTGTTCATTATGCTTTGAGAAGTATGCCCGTGCAGAGCAAGACCAGCCCGAGGCTGTGATTCGTCAACGGGGTGCTTTTCTTGAGTGCCCCTGCAGAGCGCCTGCCGATGCTCGTTGCAAGGGTTCTTTCAGCGAGCAGACAATGGCCAAGTACTTGCCATCAGAGCTCTTTGACACGCATATGGGCCTACAGCGGCAGCAGATCCGTGCAGAAGAGCATGCGAAAGCAAACCAGATGCTCAACAAGCTGGCAGCAGAATGGGAGCGGCAGGTGCCAGGCCTGTCGCAGGAACTGCTTGCAAATCAGTTGAAAGCAGCCTTGCCAGGCGCACATCAGTGCGGGCGTTGCGGTTTTGGACCAGTGCTGCATGACCGCTGCGACAATTTGAGCACCCACCACAATGAAAGCAGTGGCAGGACTCGAATCAGCAATGCTTGTCCAAGTTGTGGTCATTTCAGTGGCAATATTTCGGGCTGGCCACGGTGGGATGGCCGAGTTCGCCATCTTGCCCAAGCGCGCAGCACAGAGGTCCCAGCAAGTACGAACACAAAAACTGCTGCCAGTTCCAGTGACAGCAGACGCAGGGAAGAGCAGATACGGCGTGATTATGAACTGGCAGTGCGCTTGTCCCGAGTAGCCTAGATGCTTCAGGCAGCCTGTGACTGGTGGCGCAATCTGTGTTGCAAATCTCACAGATCGTGCCGCATTCCAAGCGTAGTGTGGGTTAACTGAGGGGCATACGCGAAACCAGCACTGGCACAAGCCATGTTCTGAGGGTTGTACAGACACTGCCTCGTTTCAGGAACGGGTTGGACAGACGGTGCCGAATCACGATTTTTGTGTGGAAACAGAACAGGTCAGGTTTAGTTTGACTTGTGCGAGAGAGACTCGATCGGGTTCTTCATATTCCCGAATTAGCAAACTCAGGATGTGAAGGAGATGGTCGACACATCGATACAGTTTCTCAACTTCAAAGATAAGGTACGTGCCAGCAGCTGCTTTGGCCACAGTCTCCAGATTCCTCCTGACCCTGACTAACACCCCAGCTGAAACCGGTAAAGCCAAAAAACCAATAGTGTGGGTTCGGGTTCAATTGAGGGCTCCCAAACCCTAAACCCTAAACCCTAAAGGCCCTAGATCTGAGCCATCTGAATCCCATGAACCCCAAGCAGGTTCTCGCAATGCCGATTCCGGCTTTGCAAGGGGCTTCAGCAGATCCTGAGCGGGGTTTAGGGTTTCGGGTTTAGGGTTGGGGGGTTTGCAAGGTTTAGGATTTGGGGGTTTCTTATGGGATGATGGGAAGACATCTGCCTCAGAAGCCTCTCCACCAAGTTTTCACACCCTGTACTCCTTGCTCCCCTTTTAGCAGTCGGTTCCACTACTTCAACCTTTTCTTTTTCTGGGTACTGGGAACTCCTAGAAACCAAAAGTGCTAAAACCCCAAACCCCTTGAAATCCTCTTAACCCTAAACCTCCCAAGCGCCCCTGGCAGATGGAGCAGAAAGTCCAGGAATGGAAGGCAGAAGAGGTTGAGTTAACGTTGTTGGAGTTCGCGGCGCCTTCAATGCCCTAAACCCGAAGCCGTAGGGGTTTCGGGCTTCCAGCCACTCCAGGCCTGCAAACAGCCTGGGGTGCACCCAAACCTGGAAACCTTTCTTCTGCTCCTCTCAGGCTTCGAGAGTCACACTACCACTATGGGGCGGCGTATTCATCATTGCTGGAACTTTCGAGCTTTTCCTTGAAGCCGTCCAGCAACTTTCCGGTCTTCGGAGACACCAACAGGTGGATCGGCATGCTTCCAATATAATGCCACTGATTCATCTTACTTTCGTCCATTGCTACCCACCCTCAGTGGTAGCTCTTGCTCAGCAGTACTATGCAGCTCGCGCCTGATGTAGGTTTCAACGTGAACGTGGAGGAATGGCGCTCACGTTCCATTCTGGCATTCTCTCAGCCTTGCCTCTTCTTTTCTTTGACATACCGCTCTCCGCCAAAACATCGTGGATCACCGCTGCTGCACTTACCTGACCTGGCCTCCTAGTTTTAGCACGCTCGGTTCGAGGAGGGTGTGGCGCATGAACATCTGCGGAGGGTGCTGGCTTCTTTTACTGTTGTTTTGCAGAATTCCACGCGGCCCTGCGCACGAGCTCCGCTAGTCAACATATCCATGTGGTGTGCAAACTTATTGAAGTATATTCGGAGCAGACATCCTCTTTTTAAGCTCTTCTCTGAGTAAGTCGATGCATTCGTCTCGGTCACCTTCACTGCCAATTCACCCTCCAGTAGTCCCAGTCTCCCAGGATAATTAGAAAACAATGGCAGCAACTCTTGGACAAACCCCCAAAGCCGTCCAACAAATGGCGGCTGCTGGTAGCCCCAGATGCAGCTTGCACGTTGACACAAGGGGCCACCTTCCCTTTGCGTTTAGCCGAGTTATCGTTTGCGTGGTATCCTCGACCAGGGCGGCTAGGGCTACCTGACCTTGGCAACCGAATTTATGCAAGAAGTGTAAACCCAATGCGAAAAACATTCCAAGGTTATCTGAGCCTGCACCGAAAAGTCCCAAAGTGCGAATCCTTTTCTGCGGCAACTGAACGTAAGCCCTGCATGCCGAAAATCACCGGCGTGCCTCCTTCGGGGCCTCAACTTTCGCTGGCCCTGCTCTCAAGTTTGCAGTTAGGCCTCCAAAACCCACGTCGTTAAAACCCAACAGCATCCAGTCCGTTTGTAGGACGCCTTCCCATGCTTTCCCATTCTAGCCAATCACGAGCTGTTTGATGGTTTGTGGCAGGTGTTTTTCAATTCAAACATGTGCCTGGCTGTGAGTGTGGCTCAACGCGGGAGACTATTCATTTGTTTTGACTGTTTCATGCAGACATTTTTGTGCCACGCAAGTGTGATGACTGTTTTGATTGGGCAGATAGTAGATACAGCATTCATTGTGTAGCACCAGATCCGCAGAATGTTCGCAGTGGCCTTGGGACAGCATAAATTCTAACTCCACTGTATTTAGGTGTGCCAGCGGAGCACATTTGGAGCAAGTGCGCAGATCAGGAAGAGCCGTCTCGTTTTGTGGGTTTTTGTGCCAGCTTCTGCTCAACAACTCGGAGTCCGCCAGGATGGCATCCTCGGTGCCGGTGGATTTCTCTTCCGGAGATCATTACGCTGTTTTGGGCGTACCCCGGACAGCCAGTGAGGCCATCCGCGGCCGTCTTTCAAGCAAGTACAGCGTGAACAAGCGTGAATGGGAAGTGCGGAGCTGCCAGGCAGAGATTGCCAAGGCTTACAGGAGTTTAGCATTACGTTACCACCCGGACAAGAACCAAAGCAAAGTCAAAGATGCAGAGGTGTGGCATGTGCCATGCTGCCATACATGCTTTGTCCCCTGTGAAGCAGTACAGCAGTGTTTGATGCAGCGCAGGTCGGGTTCAAGCGGATTTCCGAAGCATATTCGGTGTTGAGAGATCCGCAAAAACGCGCAGAGTGACCCCGACACAAGGTAGTATTGTTGTGGTTGATGGTTTTGTGTCCTTTATCATTTTTGTCATGAGCCAACTTATATTGAATTCAGGTATGATCGTACTGGCGGAACTCGCTCTTATGTGTCCTGGCTCATGGAGTTCATGTGGTTTGTGCACCGTCACGAGCGCTTGAAGGGTTTATGTTCATAAGTTCAGACCCAGGTCAGCTATGATGAAGCAGAGCAGATGTGGCGTCAATTTTCTGGTGAAGGTCGCCACGAGGTCGTTGTTGATGCCTGTTGGTGTTCAAGAGTTGTGGGGCGCATGATGGCCCTGCAGACACGACGGAAGGCTGAGGAGGATAGCAGACCAAATTCCGACTTGCAGAACAGGAGAAAGGCTGCGATGAAATTTGACGAGCACTTGTGTTGACATGCTGGACTTTCGGATTTTGTGCTAGAGTCTCGAGCTTGAGAGCCGGTTGAAAACCGCAATGCAGGCGATGGCAATTCTGGTTGTCCTTGGTCTCTTTGTTTTGGCGCCGAATCTCTTGATCCAAGTGCTGCCGGGTTTGACTGCAGCAGTCGTAGGCAGGGGAGACAGCGGAAGGTCGGAATCCACATTTCGCGCAAACACATGCGCATTTGCGGAGGCTTTGCTTTGCTGACTCGAAGAGAAAATGCATCCAAATGGGCCTGGCATGGCTCCCAGCTTGTGTTGCATTGTGCAAATGCACCGATGGCACCGGGGAGGGGGGGAAGGGCGACTCGGGTCTGTTAGAAGGTGCGCTTTGGCTTTGTTGCTCGCCAGCTATGTTGCGCCTTGGGTTTTGCGCGTGCAGATCCCAGCTTCTGACCATGTAGACATGCACGGTGCATGGTGTTCACCTAAATTGCTGAGGCTCGGTCATCCTTCGAACCGATGGCAGGTGCTTCCAGCTTGCGCTTGACATGCAATGGTCGCATGGTGATCCTTTGTTTGAGACAGCCTCGTTGGTTAGTTTGTGGCTGTTTTCGGAGGTGATGTTTGTGGCTGCACAGAAATATGCTTCATTTTCCTTCATAAGCTCCGCGCATCTTCACATGCTCACACGTCCCACGTCCCGCGCCATGTGTTCGATGTCTGTTGTCGCAGTCTCGGCTATGGCAGTCAAGCTTGGGGCCCGTGAATCAGGTACAGAACTGCATGGCCTTGGAGAGACAGAGTCCTCAGTGTCGCGGATCAACCATGAGACGTGCTTGTGCTGCCTCGTGTCTGCGAGAAATGCATGGGACGAGATGAGTGTAGTTGCTGTTCACCGAGGTGCCTGTTGGCACGCCGAACAGTGGTGAGGAGGTTCTGATCGATGGGTACACAGCTTGGTCCAGACGATTTTGATGGTTTGCGATGCTTGTTGGCCACAGGTTGCGTTCTTCAAGTTTTAGCTGTAAGGCAATTTTTGCGTGTTGCGGACCCAACGCATCGAAATGGGCCAGTCAGCGAAGGCTGGCAGCAGCGACTGTCCGGAGCCCTGAGGCGAATGCACAGGACCATCCCTTCGCCCAGTGGCTGACAGTGACAGTGAGGTTGGGTGAGATGACCGAAGCTATCAAGAAAGGCCGCGAGCAGGCACGGCGTACAAAGTGCCATTGCCACAGCGGGTCGAAGGCGAGTGCAGAGCAACGGACAGGTTCTGATGGTCTTCTCTCGTGAGGGATGCCCCTGGTGCCAGAGGACACCATTGGACACCGTTGTGGAGGAAACAAGTTGAGCTTAGCTTCCCTGATCCTGTGCCAGGCAGCTGCCAGTGCTCCAGGCTGCCATTGCCAAGCGAGCCGGGGTGGGAACACAAGACGTGGAGGTGCTTTGCGTGCTTTTCAATACTGACAAAGATGCTTCGGTTGCGGTGGAGGTGTTTCTGTAGCCGATTCCGAACCAGACTAACAGACATTGTCATCTGTTTGGTTTTCTTTGGGATGTTGATTGTTTCGGCAACATGGCTGCGGGCCTGAGCGGTGGAATGTGCTGTTTCCTTCAATTGATCCAGGGCGGTTTCTGGTGGACATCGTTTAGCAACCAGATCTCAGTATATCCCCTTCGCAGCCACTGCAGCTGCCACGACCCAAAGAACAAAGGGGTGAGCTCCTGATGCTTGCTTTCCCTAGATCGGCCCGTTGGCCTGCTGAGCCGGAGAGAATCGGG